CTGTCACACCAGTTCTGTTATATATATCAAATACCGTAGACAACCTGTAAACACCCTCCCTGTAAACAACCTGTAGACCCAACCTGTAAACAACCTGTAACCACCCTGTAACACCAACCTGTAAACCCTCAAACCCCTGTACCCGACAACACCCTACACAGCATTTCTAATTTTCAAGTAACAGATCTAAACTTTCAGAAAATGAACCACAGTTCATTTTCAAGTTTGGCCGCTTTGAGAGATTTTATAAAAACCAACCATGAACACATTCTCGGCACGGGAACGGCTACTATTGGCGCACGTGGTTCCCATGTGACTTACGCAATTTTTAATGATACGACATTACTTTAATAATCCTTTTGCTAATTATTTCGTGGACCCCAAGCTATGGCTCCGGACCCCCGGGGGGTAGGGTCAAGAGGTCTACGCAGCTAGCAGTTAGCATTGATTAGCGTGTAAGGATATATGTTGCCTTTGACCTCAGGAGGAGGCTCCGGTCCGGCGCTCTTGATGAGACCAAGAACACGCGGGAGGAGTCGAGTGCGGGCGGTCGCGAGCGCGGGAGAGCAAAAAAAAAAAAAAAAAAAAAAAAAAAAAAAAAATATCCCAACAAGAAAGCATATGTGGTTACTTGGGGAACCGGGGGGTGAGGGTTCAAGGACCTGCTTTAAAAAGAACACACACACCACAACAATCCCACCCTCAGCAGGTAGCTGATCTTCATTACAAATGGTATATGTGTGTATCTTGAACATATGTATACCTACCGTGTATTCATGACTCACCTTGGTATGACTTCACTCCTCTAACCCGTTACAGACCCACCTACCAGAATACACTACCTTTTTTCCTACACCAGAATAACAAAAAAAGAACAAAATCTACTCCTAGCGCCTCTCGGATAACATCCGCCCCCACCCTCAACAAAAACGGTATATGATCCATTCTGGTTTATCATGACCTCACCCATCTCCGTTCCCCCTTTTTTTCCTTCCTTTTTTTTTTTTTGGGAAAAAAAAAAAAAAAAAAAAAAAAAAATTGAAAAAAAAAAAACCCCCCCAATTTTTTTTTTTTTTTTTTTTGCAAAGGGCCCGGCCCTAGCCCTTTTTTAATTTTTTTTTTTTTTTTTTAAAATTATTAAAAAATTTAAACAAAGGCAAAAAGAACAACAAACAAAGAGAGGTAATAATAAAAAGTTTTTATATTTTATTTTTTTATTTACTTTTGGTGAAGGCCCGGATTAAAAAGATCCATTTGACGCTCCTTCACCCCAACTACTTCTCACCGGCAGCGCGCGGGATATAAATAAGTAATCTAATAAATTAAACCACAGGCGCCGACACATAAATAGAAGAGAGAGAGAAGAGGAAAGAGGAGCACACACACACAGAAGAACATTTTGAGAGGAGAGATACAAAAAAAAACTCGGCGGCCGCGACACACCCCCCACACACCACACACCAACTTAATTTATTATAATGTTTTTAAATTAGGATATTTATAGGGTAGGGGTGGAGGGGTTTTTTTATTTTTATTGCAAAAAACAAAAAAAAATAATATTTTTTTGGACAATAAAAAAAGAACAGACACATTGTTGTTTTTATATATATGGAAACTTAACAAAAAATCTTCTGGCTAGCATAAAAAAAGCTTATAAAAAAAAAAAACTTTTTTTTATTCGTATCTTATGGGAGGGGAAACAAGAAGACATTTACACTAACTCAAGCCTACAAAAGACGAGGTGAGAGCAGGGGAGATCTTAATAGGGGGGAGAGTGTGGTTTATTCATATAGAGCTCTCCAAAAAACTTGGTTTCTCCCTTCCTTCACCAGATATGACAATATTAAAAAAGGAATTTTATATTAAAATAATTAAAAGGTGGAAATGATTCTACCTCTTCCTTTAGTGGTTTGTTTTTTGAAATTTTGGCAAAGACATTTTGGTGCATATGAATAGAAAGCTGTTAAATGTGAGCCACCCCTCCTTTTGTGTTTTTGCTTTCCTTGTTTTGTTAATTGATATTTAATTTTAATATACTAGTTTTAATATTATTTATATTTTTTTTAAAAAATTAAAATGGGTTTTTTTTTTTAAAAAAATTAATAATCATAAAAGGCCCTGCGCCTTAAACACCTATTTTTAAACCACCATAAAAAACCCCCAAAAAAAAAAAAAAACTTTTTTTTTAAAATTTTTAAGTTTTTTTTTGTTATGGGGGGGAGGAGGAGTGGTGAGAGAGTGGTGGAGGTGCCTTACCTTTCCACCTCTCTAGAGCTTGACACACCCAATAGAAAAAAGGCAGTGCACACCTGCCCCGATTAAATAAAATATTCTTCTTGAGTGTGTAGCTGTGTTTGAAGTGATACTATTTGTTTTTAACGTTTTCTATACTTATATTCTTTGTGTGTTTCTGCGGTTCTTTTACGCTCATTCCCAGTGTTATTTATATGAAAGCCCCCGCTTTTTCTAGTTCTTTTTAATAAAGATGAAGAATGAGTGCATATAATTAGGTCACCATAATCCAAACTGATAAGAGCCTTCTTCCCTTGCCTGTATAAGGAAGCATTCTTTAATCTAAAATAGAAACCATAATTGGGTCTGAGTTTTTTTTAAAAAGACGTACAGACCCCTACTGTGGGGGGTCGATACCTCCTGTGGGGGGGTCGGACCTCTGTGGGGGTCAGGACCCTCTGTGAGGGGTCGGACCCTCTGTGGGGGGGTGTCTGTGTCGCCTCAAGTCTCCGTGTCCGGCGTGCTGCAGCTTCAGCCTGAGAAAAGAAGAGAACAGGAAATGGGCAGAGTCAGGAGTGCGTTATAAATAACTGACCTTATATCAGGTTGTATTTTACTGACTTTTTACAGCGGACTGTTTCCATAGATAGCATAAAACTCTGTGGAAACAGTCAATGTCAATTAATTCAGTGATTGTTATTATTTATTGAATCACTATATGTACTGTTTGTGTTTTTACAGGAGAAACCGTCAGACGGCGACCTCCTCGCTCCTTACAGCTCGCCAAAGCACCCGGAGACGAGCAGGAGGTGAGGGGGGAAAAAAAAAAAAACCAGAACAAGAAAAGGGAGGGAGAGGAAAAGAAAAAGGAAAAAAAAAAAAAAAAAGGGAAGAAAAGAGAAAAAAGAGGAGAGAACGAGAAAGGAAAAAGAAAAAGGAAGAAAAAAAAAAAAAAGGAAGAGGAGAGAGAGAGAGACAAGAGGAGGGGGGGAAAAAAAAAAAAAAAGGAAAAGAAGAGACAGAGAAGAGAGAGAGAGAGAGAGAGAGACGAGACAGAGAGAGAGAGAGAGAGACAGAGAGAGAAGAGAGAGAGCAGAGAGAGAAGAGAGAGGAGACAGAGAGACAAGCAGAGAGAGAGAGAGAGAGAGAGAGAGACCAGAGACAGAGACAGAGAGAGAGAGAGAGAGACAGAGAGAAGAAGAAAGAGAGACAGAGAAGAGACAGAGAGAGAGAGAGACAGAGAGAAGAGAAACGAAGAGACAGAAGAGAGAGAGAGAGAGAGAGACAGAGAAGAGACAGAGAAGAAGAGAGAGACAGAGAGAGAGAGCAAGGAGAGACAGAGAGAGAGAGAGGAGACAGAGAGAAGAGAACAGAGGAGAGAACAGAGAGGAGAGAGGAGAGAGAGAGAGAGAGAGAGCGACAGAGAGAGAGCAGAAGAGAAGGAGAGAGAGAGAGAGAGAGAGAGAGAGAAAGAGAAGAACCAGAGAGAAGAGAGAGAGAGACAGAGAGAGAGAGAAGCGAACAGAGAGAAGAGAGAGAGAGACAGAGAGAGAGAGAAAGAAGAGAGAGAGAGAGAGAGACGAGAGAGAGAGAGAGGACAGAGAGAGAGAAGAGAGAAGAGAGACAGAGACAGACAGAGAGAGAGAAGAGAGAGACAAGAGACAGGAGAGAGAGAGAGAGACATAAGACAGACAGAGAGAGAGAGAGACAGAAGAAGACAGAAGAGAACAGAGAGAGAGAGCAAGAGAGAGAGAGAGACAGAGAGAGAGAGTGAAAACGAGAGGAGACCAAGAGAGAGACAGAGAAGAGACAGAGAGAGAGAGACGAGAGAAGAGAGAAGAGAGAGAGAGAGCGACCAGAGAAGAGAGACAGAGAGAGACAGAAGAAAGAGAGAGAGAGAGAGAGAGGAGAGACAGAGAGAGCAGAGAGAGAAGAGACAGAGAGGAGAGAGCGACAGAAGGAACAGAGAAGAGACAGAGAGAGAGAGAGAGAGGAGAGAGAGAGACAGAAGAGAGACAGAGAGAGAGAGAGAGGAGACATTAAGAAATAAGTTGATTCCTGTACAGATAATTGAAGAAAAAATTTTCCCCCAACTTTTTTAAAGTTTTTTTTTTAAGTTTAAAAAAAATTTTAAAAAATTTTTCTTTTTAACAAATATATCTTCAATAAACAATAATTATATAGTAATAATGTCTGTGTGTGTTGTGTGTTGTGTCTGTGGTGTGTGTTGTGTGTGTTGTGTGTGTGTGTGTGTGTGTGTGTGTGTGCAGCCTCCAGGTGTTAACTCTCTACCTGCCAAAGCCAAGAGGAACTCTGCTCTGATCGAGAAGCTCCAGGTGAGTCCAGCTGGTCTCTGCTGGTCTGGAGGGAGAGCTGCACTCTGACATCACTGTGACATCACTCTGACATCACTCTCTCTCTCTGTGTAGGCCAACCTCGCTCTCTCTCCCTCGGCCCTGCAGCCCTCCCCGAAGAGTCCCGGCTTCAGGTTGCTGTCTCCCGTCTTCCCCCCGCCCTCCCCCAGCCATGCCCTAGTTACCACGGTAACCACCTCCTCCACGCCGACCCCCACCAGCCCCGTCGTCACCTCTCCGCTGACTGAAGAGGAACTTCCCGCCTCCTTCGAGGCCCCTCCCACAGTGGTGGAGGGGTCCATCCTGTCGAACACCAACATCAAGGTCAGTCCCCTCCCGTCAAATACAGCGTTTTCATTGGTCCACTCCCGGTGATGTAATAATAATCAGTTACTGATGACCTCACCCGTCTGTCTCTGCTCCCATTGGTCCTCCTCCAGGGCAGACCTCGCCACTCTGTCCGGCGACGCCCTCCATCCCGCCGCCACAGGAAGTCCAGCAGTGGAGACGAGGTCGGCGCCGCCAACGAGGGAGGAGACGTGTCTCTGAGCTCCACGGGTGAACCAGAAGACAAAACAACAGCAGGAGGAGGAGGAGGAGGAACAGAAGGAGGAGGAGGAGAGGAGGAAGGTAAAACAGACGAAACAGATGCTCCAACGTGTCCTCAGAAAAACCACGAAGAAGATCGGTCAGAGGTCGAGTCCAGAGAGGAAGACGAGAAGATGAAGGAGGAGGAGAAGGATGGATCCACGGGAGGAAAGGAGGAAGAGGAGAAAGAGGAAAGAAACTCTGCACAAAAACAGGAAGAAGATTTGACCAAAGAAGTGACAAACACAGACACCAAAGATGAAGAAAAGATAACGGTAAAACCTTCAAACATCGTCCGAAGTTTACGAGGTTTTCCCGTTTTTATTTTACAGATTTATTCCGTTTTTTAAACACTAAAATATCCTGTGAATTTAGATCTAATGTAAAATAACATTTTATTTACTGTTTATTTAATAAATTAAACTGTTTAATTCCAGTTTAATACAGTTACCCATACCCAGTTTACATCAAATCGACTGCTACCCACCGCATCAGTGACATGAACAGTAAAAAGTATTAGTTGTGTAATTGTACACTCGGATAGTTTGGTTTAACTGACAGATATGTTGTCATACATGACTGGGTTGAATAAAATGGTTGTGTTATCAGTGCTAGTAAGCATTATGTAAACTGTCCCAAATGATTCACTCATAATCTTCACAGATAATGACTGTTTATTGACAGTTCTATAACTTTTAACATTCACATTAAAATAATAAAAATGTAGTATAATTATTTGTATTATATCAGTAATAAAACAGTGTTAGCGTTGAAGGCTCTGTGTGCCAGCGGAGGCTCTTAATTGCTGTTGTGTTTACGTCCTCCCACAGGAGACGACGAGTCTGTGTTCGGTCCGATAAGCAATCAGACGTACGGCCGAGCCCCTGGGGCGCTGGGAGGGAGACCCTGTCGCAGGGATCAGGCCCGTCTGAGAGTCCGGACTCATCAGTGAAACTCTGAGCTGCTGCCCACCCACACGGTTTCTCTCCTCTCCGAGGAAACCGACTGAAACCGACTGAAACTGTCTTTGGTCTTTTGAAGAACGGCTGATGATTCAACTGAAACACTGGAAGTGTTTTTTATTCTCAATGCAAAACCTTTTTACACTGAAACGCTGGATTTGTTCCTTTTTGTAAGAACATAATGTTATTTTATTGTTTTCATGATGTTTTCCTGCTGTCTGGTTGTTCGAAGCTGTGACTGATGATGATGATGATGATGATGTGTGATTTTTATTTAACGCACTGAAGCTTTTTGGACAAACATTAGAAACAGACCTGTTACTGTGTGTTTGCTGTCAGACCTTATTCCAAAGATTCATAAACAAATACTTCAGGTTTTTATTTTTTTGACTGTAAATTCTGTATTAAAGGTTTAAAACTGGAGACGTCACATTGTGCCTTTAAAGTGAAATAAAACGTGTATCCTGGCTACATGAATGATTATCTGTAAAGTCTCCTCACTCAATAAAACAGCGTCTCTCTGCAGCGGAGAGGATGTGAAAGCAGCAGAAAACTGACATTTTACAAAAGAACCAAAGATCTGAACCGAGGCAAATAAAACAGTTTTGAGTCCAGAGACACAAACAACCAAGAAACAAAGAATGACAACAAAGAGACTAAATACAACCATAAAGAAACAGAACGCGACTTCAGAAAGACAGAAAATGACAAAGTGACACAAAGAGACTTAAAAATGTTTTAATGGTTTTATTAAGAGAAACTATCAGTCTGATTATCAGAGAAAGCTTTTATAAAATGAAAGAGAGTGAGGGGGGTAAGAACAGCAACTCCTAACATACTGAGGGAGACGCAGTGAGAGGAGTTACCTGCTGCTCCTGCTCCTGCTCCTGGTCTTGCTCCTGGTCTTGCTCCTGCTCGTTGTGAGTCAGCCTTATTCTGGATAATCTGTGTGATTCTCTGACTCACTCACATCCACTCACTGCTGCCCAAAATACAACAGATGGACTAACGATGGCTGCCAAAAATTACAAACAGGATCCCAGAGGCATGCTGGGAGAACACGCTGACACATGGGCTGAAAATAGTCTCTCTGATAAAAAGGTCACAGGTCACAGACACTGTCCACAACAGGAGAGAATGACAATAAATAAAGTAATAAAGGTTTTCAGATGTGGTTTCAAAGATGTTCATTGATGAGTCTGCAGTCAGTTGATAAGGCAACTACATGTCCCAGAAGGCATTGCTGTAAGAAACTATATGAGTCGGATAAATCGTTGATGTCAGCTTAAATTCGGAGTCGTTGAGAAACACAAACAGCTGGACTCCAGAAGGACGCCAAAAACACCTCAATGTCGAACGGACTCAGAAAAAAATGTCCAGTTGGAATCAATCTTCACTGAAAACAATTCAGAGAGAATTATAGATTTAAATATTGGTGATTTAAATAAAACTGATGGCGAGTTGAAAATGTGCTCGAACATTTCTGGAGTTGAGAAGCTCAAGCAGGAGATAGCTAGCTCGATAATAGTGGAGGAAAAGCAGGCCAACAGCTGTCATTGTCCACGACCACAGAGACGTAAACGACC